AGAACGCCAGGATAGCTGGTAGTCTGGAAGTCAAGGTTTCGCAAAAAAGAACCCCCCCCCCCCCCACTCACGGGTATGGACCTAAGATGCGGCATCCTATGCGGATATCAACGTCACAGACTTTCATGAGGAATGATACGATTCCCAGAAGGAGTGGCATTGTCATCTCATGAAGAGGCCTCACTTAGCTGACTTCCAATTGATCGGTCCCCAGAGTCGACAATCCTCACGTCTGGACTCCCCTATGATCCTCAGGACCTTAGAGAAGCACCTCGGAGAGAACCTCGTCTGAGCGTGAATTTCGTGGGGATGCTCTGCCTGCTCAGCAGACAGGTTCGCCCACTAATCTCCACAACTACATCTAAATGCATACTCAAGCAGCCCAAGTTCGGCTATCACTCAAAATATCACCCTCCCCAGCACAACCGTAACAGATAAAAGCGATACAAAAATAAACACCCAAAAGACAAGCAAACAAGCACTAGGATTGACTCTCTTAGGGGACGTTGGATCCCACATGCATAAGGACTATCGCAGTCCTTAGCAGCCAGGGGACGTTGGTTCCCCAGCAGAGTCGCCAGCTGTCGCTACTGCGAAAATCGGCGCCGGCTGACAGAAGAGTCGCCACCGTGCGTTATTTATCCCAACGGAGGGAAAGGAAACGCTCGAAGTAAACCTCGCAAAAAACGGGAAAGGTATGGTCATCGCAACCAAAACCTGGATTCGCGAGTCGGTTACGCAAGGGGAAGGTATTAGCACCTCTCACGTCCGTCGTACTCGACGGGATCCACGCTTGCTTGGGTTGTCTAAAGGATGCAAAACAATCTATCTACGACTGCTAAATCTAAACGGAAAGGAATTGACTCGATAGAGCGTCGCACTCTATGCCTACGTATTCTCAAGAGAGAAAGTCAGAGTCAACGTAGTTCGGGACTACGGGAAATTGGCTCGCCAAGACCTCGCGCCTTGTGCCTACGTACTTCCACACTGCATGGAAGATCAGAGCTTACGTAGTTCAGGCTAACTACGGCTAGGCTGGGTGTTCTCACACAGCAGTGAGAAATTAATCTGGTTTTAAAGGTACGGGAACCTATGGGAAAAACTACGGTCTGGTCTCAAATGCACTCGGGCAAGAGAAAGGGATAACAATCAGCCGTAAGCGGGAAAGTCTCGATCGCGCAGCAGCGAGAGAACAAAAAGTTAGTTGTTAATGTGCTCGCTAGGATATCGCATCCTATGCCTACATATTCTCGTCTGGTATGAGAAATCAGAGCAGCTGTAGTTCGGCTACTTCGGGACCACAGCTCAAATCTCGTTTTATTAATCTTCTGAAAAAAATGGTTACAATGATTGAATATCGGAAATGAACTCCTATAAAATACTATCCTATCCATCTACCATGGAAAATTAAATGGAAAATAGTCCCCTAACAAGTGGACTCCTAAACTACCCCTAAAAGTGTAAAAAATCCCCTAACAAATGGACTTGTAAAACTACTTCTAAAATAAACTCCATGAAGAAAATATACTCTAAAAAATATTAAATCTACACTAATATTTTTTCCTCTTTTTCATACTTCTATTTTCTTCTTTTTTTTCATTTCTTTCTTTTTCTATTTTTTTTCTCAATATTCTTTTCTCTTTTCTTTTTCAAAATATTTTTCATATATTCTTTTCTATATTTTTTCACTATTTTTTCAATATTCCTTTTCAACTATTTTCTTTTCATATTTCTTTTTTCTCAAAATACTTTTCATACTCATGAAACTATATAAAAGAAAATAAAAAAAGAAAATATAAAGGGGGGGGGGTACAGCAGTACAAGGGGTGTTAAGTAATAAAAAACAAAAACAACAACAATATGGGCCCAACCCAATATCTCAGCAGACAACAAAAACAAAAAAGAAAGGGGAAGGGGGGTGCTGGAAGTGAAATGGGGTGTATGGCCAGCAAAACTCGTTGGGCCCAGCCCATAGTCATTCAGCAAAACAAAAAAAACGGAGGGGGCGTGGAAAATGGGGGTGTGTACGGGTCCGAATCACAGTTGGGCCTCAGAAGCCCAAATCCAACACGGTCTATCTCTTATCCCCCTTCTCAAACCCTAGATCCCCTTCGCTGCACTGTTCACGACCGCCGCTTCCCCTTCTCACACCCTCGTTTTCGCCTGATTCTCTCTCTCCACCTCTTCTTCTCCGTTCAAACTTCTCAAGCTCTTGTTCAAAAATTCCCTTGATCTTTCTCATCTTTTTCAATCAGTTTCACCAAACAAATGTATGAACAAACGCCTAACAAAATCATTATCAATTTGGTGAAGATCTGGAATCTGATGGAGATGACGATTCTTGCCCTGGACGAACGAAGGTAACATCTGGAAACAATGAAGGTTGATGAAGGTTGAAGGTCGCTGGAGATTTGGGTGGTGATGAACTCACGAAGACGACGATGAATGCTCTTGATCTGGAGAACTGAGAAGGTTGAGTTGATGAGACGAAGAAGGTGTCCTTCGTGCTTTCTGGCGATTCTCTGATGATGTGGAAGATGATTGTTTGAAGAATCTGATGAACTTCAGATGAAGAATTCTAGACACAATGCTTATTGATGATGAAGATTGGCCGATTTCTGGAGATTGCCGAAGAACACGAGGGAGGTTCTTGATGATCGATGATGATAATGACGATTTCTGGAAATGTTTATGAATGTTCTTGGCTGTTTGATGATCTTGCTGAAGATCCAGATCTGGATGAAGATCGAAGACCCTGATGAATGCATGGTCAGTTTCTGGCAAAGGTACTGGAGGATCTATGAAGGTCGAGGATGATCGTTGATGATCGGAGGGAGGTGAACAAGGTCGAAGAACAAATCTGGAAATTGTGAAGGAGATGAAGGTTGGATGAATTTGGACCGGAGAAGATGAACTTCTGGAGAATTCTGGGATTTCTGGGGAAGTTTCCGGCGAGAGGATGAAGTTGGCCAGAGGAGGAAGATGAAGATCATGTGAAAACGATGAAGGTTTTGGGATTTTCCAGTTTTTCGGTGGAAGTTACGGTGGCCGGAGTTGGTTGCTGGGTAGTTACGGTGGCCGGAGAGGTTGGGGGCGGTGGTTGCATGGCCGCCGGCCATGCAACCGGCGAGATTCAGGCGTTGCCAAGTGGCGGGGAGATGGAGTTAGTGGAGGCCATGCATGCAGCCACGTGGTGAGGGGAGAGATAGTGGGAGACGTATGTGGCAGACTCTGAGAGTAATGAAAAATGAGGTGGCCAGCCCTTGGATTGCACGCGTGGATTGATTATATACTGACACTTGGCACACTCTGGACTAAAAATGACCAAAAACGGACTGAAATTTACTGGGCCTCCAAAAACTTCTCTGGGCCCAAACAAAAATGATAGTAAAACCCTGAAAAACTGAATTAAGAAAAATGAATTAAACCTAATTAACTAAACAAAGATTTAAACCTAATTAGCTAATTAATACTCCACTAATTAATTCTGAAACTACAATTAAATGCTAACTGAAAATTAAACTAATCTAGTTAATTCTAACAAACTCTAATTAAAAGATTAAACTCATAATTAAATTTAAAAGATGATTAAAATCTAATTAAACCTATATTAAACTAAAACTAATAAAACTCTAATAACCTCTATTTAAAAAAATCTATTAAATTTCTATTAAATCTCTAATAAAATCTATACTATTATTCTATAATATCTATTAAAATTCTATTTAAAACTAATAAAAGAAAAATCTATTATATTCTAATAAAACTATTAAAAAACTATTAAAACCTATTAAAAACTCTATAAAATTCTAAAAATGATTTAATAGCTATTAAAAATATAAAAAAATCTATTTAAATTCTAAAAAGTCTAAAAAGCCTCTTAAAAATCCACAAAAGGCTATTAAATCCTATAAAAATCCAGACAAATGCAAATAACCAATATACGAGAGAGCATGAGACCAGATCGAAGCAAAACAGTAAACCAGACATCAAAAATCTCAAAAATCACTGCATAAACTGAAAACACCCAGGAAGCGCGCGACTTCCCAAAATAAACTCCGATTACTCGAACCGGTCTGAGATACCCGAAAAGCGAAAACAGGGCTGTAATCCCGATAAAATCACCATGATTGAGGAAATGCGCTATATACAGTATGCAAATGCGAATGCGAAATGCGTCGAAGCATAAACCGAAAGAGGCACCGGTTGGTCAAATTTTAGGGTGCAACAAATAGCACTTTTAAAAAAAGTGCTATTAGAAAAGAAACAAACATATCTATAATAGCATTTTATGGTCGGGCGCTATTATAAAGTATAGACAATGTGATTTTGATAGAACTTTATTAAAAAACGCTATTATTAAACTTCAATAACATAGCGCTTTCTTTAAAACGCTATTAATATTCTTTATTAAGATCTCTTATTATAGTATATTACTAGGAATAGAAAAGGATAAGGGAGGAGAGAATCAAGCGAACCATGCCACAAACCCTCTAATCTTTATCATGACCCATCTTCAACCTTCAGATTTTGGCAACTCTTCGAACGCAACTTCGCCGTCATTCTCCATATCTAATTGTAGAATGCTTGTGTGTTCGTTTCTCTTAGATGAACGCAACCATAAATCCAACTCAGATTCGTTGTAGTCTGAGTTCGTTCCTGATGACCTGGTAATGCGGCCTACGATATTACATCAACGATGCAACAATACATCAGACTCTGTGGTGACAACATTGACACAAGCGCCAACAACATCACTAGTCACTACGAATCTGACATCATTCGTGAATTCAATCACAACAACTGCAGAAACTCCAGTAATCCTCGATCTCAAACTCTTGTGGTGTTGTAAATTTTTGGGCCAAATTTGTCGTTCTGATTTTTTCTTGTGTCATAGTTCAATCATGTAGATGTTATACATATTTAGTTGCAGAAACTCACATGTTGGTAACCAACTTTTTTGCTCTTATAATTGATATGTATGTTAGATGTTCAATTAAATGCCTCAGAGAAAACCATCTTTTAATAGTGTCTTCACCAATAAGCTTGATGTTGAGGAGCTTGAGATGCTTTTGGAAGCATACTTTGTTCAAATTGATGGAACTCTCAACAAGCTTTCCACGGTATCCTTGCTATGTTCCAGTTCCTTGTTCTATACTTAGCTTTATCTCTTTGTTTTGTTAACAAAATAACAGATACAAATTCAATAGTTCAATTCAACAAGTTAAAACACAAATGCAAATGCAGTAGTTACATTTTTGTGCCTTTTGATCTAGTTGGGTAGAGTAGCTTAATGGATATGTCGTAAACACACAATATTTGAGAAGCAAAGCACCGTTTCCATCTCGAATAATGATTGGAATGACATGACTTTCTGGTTTGTATTTGAGGGGTTGGATTGATTGTAATTCATCTAATTTTGCTTGCAAAACATTAGTATTAGACAATTATAAAATAGTTGCTATGACTCGGGGGATGCTTATGAAGCCTCATAGCCGGGTTATAATATCCTCAAATGTACTCGCCCTAGTATCTTGCATTCAGACTGATACGACATGACACATGTCTTATAGCACCCAAAAGACTATTGGGGCCAAATACTCCTTACCCTACCTTAGCCGAAAAACCTAAAACGTATGCTAAAATATAGTTGTATAGCTAGGGGAACAGAAGGGGAGCCTATAAGGAGAAAGAACCGAGGAGTTAAACCTAAGTCATTCATTCAGATTTTACCCTAAACACTTGACCTTGAGCATGACACATTGTTGGCAGAGGTCCTAAATATTCCACATAGGAATAAATTAATATTATGGGATTTAAGATACCTAGTTTATATAAATGCTACTAATTTTCTATTTTATATGGTTATCATATATGTTTGTTTGAAAGAATATAGTTTACTTTGGATATAGAATTGACTTGTCTGTTGATGACACCTTGTTATTTGTCGGTTGTTGTGTTGAAGTTGAGGGAGTATGTTGATGACACAGAGGATTACATCAATATTATGTTGGATGACAAACAGAACCATCTCCTTCAAATGGGAGTCATGTTAACCACGGCAACTCTGGTAGTGAGTGCCTTTGTTGTTGTGGCTGGTGTTTTTGGCATGAATATTCATATTGAACTGTTTGATAGTGACAAGTAGGGGACAAGAGAGTTTATGTGGACTATTGGTGGTGGCACTGCTGGAACCATATTCTTGTATGTGGTTGTCATTGCCTGGTGCAAGTATAAACGCTTGCTAGAACAAGCAGCACTCTATTGTGTTCTAAACAATAATGTAATTTAATTAGAAAATAAACTTCTTTTGTATGTTCTGTAGAATTTTAATGCTAGACTTATACACGACATCTATTTGCTTCAACTACTTATTTTTGTACATTATTGTATGGACAAATTCTACAACAACATTGGTTTTATGCAACACTTCCTGCCAGTCCTGTAATTTTCACAAAGATTTCCCAAGATTCACGGTTTTTCATCATATTTAGTTTTATGGTTGTTTTTTTAGTTCGTTGTACCAATTTTTTAATTGCAACAGAATTGAATCTTCACCCCAACTAAAACATCATCTAGCAGTATCAATATCTCTTTTAGCCTGCAGGGACAACATGTTTTCCACAATGATTTTCCGTTCCCGACATCCAGAAAAACTGACGTCTGATTCTCCCGAACTACTGCCGTTGGGACACTGGTATGTTTATTTCTTGGCCAATTAATGTACATCGTTGTCGTCGCACATAGGTTTCATTTACAAACAATATCTCGATTCCCTGATATGCTCCATCATTCTGCAGGTGTTTGACAACCCTAGATCTCGTGGCTTGATATTTATTGAATTCATCGTCAACGGTAACAAACCGTCCTTACCCGTAAATATGTCTCGACATCACTGAGCTTCATACGTCTCTGGTGAGCACAGGTACTACTGAAGGTTCTGGTTAAGCTGCAAATTCAACTTATAATGTACTCTAATGGTATAAGATTGAACCATGCTTGCTCGTTATTACCGAGATCTTTTATTTCCGACACCAATGCACTTAATCTTTATATCCTGAGAGAACTTTATGACACTATTATGAACCCATATATTAGCTTATCAAATATCATTGGCAACTTATTTAATACCCTTGTTCTCGTCATCGATGACAGCTTCAACTTCGGGACCTCGTAGGGCCTGGACTGAGGATGCTCATTCTTTCAATTTTACGAGGAACTGAATTGTTATTTTCAATTTTACGAGGATGCTCAAACACCTTCGACTCCGCGACAACAACTTAACTTTGCTTTGGGAACAATAGTAATAACATCCATCTGCAACAACACCGAGAAACACTGTAACGACTTTGCCATACGAACTCGACGACACCGTTTTTCAGTTCGAGTCCAACCACAACAACAACAGAGCTCGCACTTGATTTTTGTTTTGTCGATTTCAAAGTTGCAGAAATTATGTTGTTGTCTGTTAATCAAATTCATGTGCAGGTTTTGAATCTAGGAAAGCTTGGGATTATTCAGGTCTAGAATTTAATTTCGATTATACAAACATAAATGAATTAGTAGTGGATATGTGGATTCCATGAATATGCTGCTGGTGTGCGGTTTGCTGAGGTTATGGTTTCTGTACTTAAAAGGAGGAAGTTTTAAGTTAGCTGGCCAAATGTGCTTTTGTAACGAAGTTACTTTGCTTTTCTCAGCCGTGAGTACGAAATCCCGGTAACAACTCAAACCAATTTCTCTATTGCGTAATGTATCTGATGTTTTGCTGCGAACTCTGTTGGATTATTTTAATTTTCATTGTTTCAATTTTTGTTGTTGTTTGTTAATTTCTTAGCATGGCATAAAGTCGTATCTGATCTGTGGTGTCGACATTATTCTTTTGATGTATTAAGGGGATACTAGTGCTGCTGCTGTGATTTTAAAATTCTGATGAACCATGTATGCATATTGTTATAGTATGATGCTGACTGAAATGCTAGTTGTGATACGCTTCTCAATTATGTCAATTTGTGCATTTGCTGTTTTTTCAATTTGTTGATTAATATGTTGAAGAATCTAGATACAGCTTAAAGAGAAAGAACGTGTTCATGTATTATTATTTTGTTTCGTTACCGTATTGAGACATTTGTTTCTGTTTTGATTTGTTGCGCTTTGCGTTCCAATGTTTGGAGCTTGATTCACCTGTTGCGCTTTGCGTTCCAATAGGAGGATCTTAGATCTATGCCTACCACTTCTGATTGTGTTCCAGCTAGTTGGTCAATGGTCACAAATTGAGTGGAAAGACGAAATTCATCACATACTTAATTAGTTTTCTCATGTTATGCGTTATGGGGTACTATCTGCTCCGACAGTGTTAACCTTTTAGCAGGGTAGACTTTATGTAAAGATTTTCTTGTGCTATTGTTGTAGATTAGTTTGATATCTACTATATTAGTTACTTTCTCAAGCAGGTTTGTTTAGATATTGAGTATTACATGGTTATGGGGGCAAATCTACTGATATGGGATGGTCAGTTGCTAGACAGACATTGTTATGAATTTTGCTACTCAATCCTCCCATTTATTGTAGTATTGAGTTACAAAATCTCATTTTCTTAAAAGAATAAATAAAGGGAATTAATAGCGCTTTTTTAGAAAGTGCTATTAAAGATAGTGTATACAATAACACTTTTAGAAAAAACGCTATTAAATACAAGGACTATAATAGCACTTCTGAAAAAAGTGCTATTAAATACAAGGACTATAATAGCACTTCTAAAAAAACGCTATTAAATACAAGGACTATAATAGCACTTCTTCAAAAAGCGCTATTAAATTCTTTCATAAACAAGGTGTATGGTAGCGCGGAACAGGGTAATGATAGCATTTATAATGAAGTGCTATTAAAAACACTCATTTTAATAGCGTTTTCAAAGCGCTATTATATGTATCAAATCTATAATAGCGGGGGCTTTTATAGCGCTTTTAAGCACTATTAAAGGTGAAAAAAAGCGCTATTAAAAACAATTTTTGGCGTAGTGCATGTTTTTCCACTCTATGCAGTTGATAAGGATGCCTGATGAAAGTTAGTTTATTCCCTGTTGTTTTAGAGTTAGATCCAAGGTGGATATTTGTGAGATTTTGGGTCGAACTTTATCTCTGTCGAGGAATAGCTTTCATGTGTTTTGATAAAAGACAAGCATGAAGTTGAAGTTGGGTCGCATGCTGATGTCGAAGGATTACATACTATAGTCGAAGCTAGTTCTAGTATGTAATGTCGAAATATATATTGTTGTATTATTATTTCAAATTGGGTCTTGTGTTAAGAATGCAATTGTTTAGTTAGTTTATATTGTAAGTTAGCTAGTTAGTCTATAAATAGTCTAGTTCACCCAGGTTATTGAGAGAGGTCAATTGTGTTATTCACTTGTAATCTTTTGTAATATTGAGAAAGTGAATAGTTTACCAATTTTCCGTAATTCTTCTTCCTCTTTCTTCTTTATCCTTTGTTCTTTCTCTCTTTGTTCTAACCGTTTTATTGTTTATCCAATATCTCTGTTTTTCAATCTTTATTTATTGAAAGATATCGTTTGTGATCACAACAAAAATTAATCACTTAAAAAAGATTCTCTTCTTTCCATGACAGAAAAAGTTCAATTGCTTAGATGTGCGATTCATAGTTTGTTTATTTAAAGAACTCACATATAAACTTGTATGCTTCTCATATCAAATAGGTGAAAAATGGATTAGATTTTATATTTTGAGAAAGAGAAAACTTGTGATAGTTTGTTGGCATAAAATTTGCCACCTTATAGCAAACAGGGTTATGAATATCATCATTATACATTATGTCCGGTTCAGGGTGATAGTCGCCTGTGATTCTACCCCAGAATTGGTCGAGTTCAAAATCAATATCGTCATCTTCTGCACTGATGAACACATGCGGTCCGTTAGGAAATCCTAGGAGGTTAGCTAGTGACATCCGGCTATGGGTTTGGTCTATTCCAAACATTCGAAAGGTAATCAGCTCTGTGTTGGATCCAAAACCATAGTTGGGTATGTATCTGAACGAACTAAGGAATTCATAGGTGAGATCCTTATAGGTAGCAAAACGTGTTTTCAAAGCAGTGTTCTCCCAACCCAGTTGATTGAACAGGTATTGAATGCTATTTGTGATTCCTAGTTTATCCATGGTAGAATTATCATAATACAGCGCTAAGGCGATTTCTCTTTCAGTCAGTGCTGCAAATCTTGCCTTTTGAGCTAGTCCTCGAAAATGAACCTTTGTGAAGTCGTACTCGGCCATGCTCGCAGGTAAGTCGGAGAAAACAGGAGGAATGTTTTGAAGACTTTTAAAATCCTGAAAAGTTTAAAACAGAAGTTTGAAGCCAGGATTTTTAAAAATGAAAAGCGGTAAAAACAAAGGACAAAAAGAGTAAAATAATAAAAATAAAAATATGAAAACAAACGAAAGTAGAAAGTAGTAGTAATTATAAGTTTAGAATTTTTGTTAAGTTTTCAAAGTAAAATTTTAAATAAAAAATGAAATACAGTAACGAGGAAAAATTGCGGAAAAAATTGGGTTGCCTCCCAGTAAGCGCTGTTTTTAACGTCTAAAGTCTGACGATAGCTTGGTGACAAGCTATTCGGGTGTTTGAGCTGGAAGCTCAAGCAATGCTATACTACAGACTTGAGGGCTGTTATCGTTCTTATTATAATGTTTTAGACGTTGCCCGTTTACGATAAACGGTGCATTCGTCTTATCAGTAATTTCAACAGCTCTGCTCTGAAGTACTTTAGTCACTTCATAAGGTCCAGACCACCTAGATTTTAGTTTACCTGGGAAGAGTTTTAATCTTGAATTAAATAGCAATACGATGTCTCCCACACTGAATTGTTTCTTGACTGAACGTTTATCGTGCCACTTTTTAGTTCGTTCTTTGTAGATACGGGCATTTTCATAAGCGTCTGATCGAAGTTCTTCCAATTCGTGTAAGTTCAAGATTCGCTTTTCTCCTGCCTCGGTGTAGTTGAAATTGAGTGTCTTAATGGCCCAGAAGGCCTTATGCTCTAATTCTACAGGGAGATGACAAGATTTACCGTAAACTAATTTGTAGGGTGTAGTACCTATTGGTGTCTTAAAAGCGGTCCTATAAGCCCATAAAGC